AGTGACTGAATGCTGGCCATCCATGTTCACCGATGAAATGGCTTAGGGAACTAGCATTTAGGCAGAGTTGGTTGAGTAGCAGTTTAGGAATTAATGAGATTAGCCACTGTGGCAAACTAAAGTAGCATTTGTATTTCAATATAGGTAAATATTTTTAGGATTTTTTTCAACATCTATTAATTTAAAATTATATGGACAGGAAATCCAGAATAATATGTAAATTAAAGTCTGTTTAACAAGGTAAAAGAGAAGATGTTTCATGTAGTAGCTCACAACCACCAGTCAGGAACTATCTTTTTATTGATTTCTGAATGCTATGAAACTTTTTTAAATAATTAATGAAATTTGTAGATTTTAGTTATTGCACTTTGTAAATCATCAGTACTTTTATGCAGTGCAATATTATTTAAATAAGAAAAATTAATAATAGCGCCTATGGTCAAAATTATATAACTTACTAATAGTGTACCAGCTGCAAAAAATCACCATATATAAAGTGTACCAATAAATAAATAATTTGCGCTAGTAAATGTGTATAAATATATAAATATATATAAAGAAATCATCAAATCATAAGTCCAGAAAAAAATATATATATGCCAATACCACAAAAAAAAAAAAAAAAAAAAAAAAAAAAGAAATATATAAAAAAACTTTTAAGTGCAAAAAACTTTTGTGCAAAAAAAGTGTCTAAATATGAAAAATTTCACCAAAAAACCTTGATAATATAATGGCAGATCATCCATAAATATATCTTCAGAAACGGAAACTCTGCAACACACCGATCCTCATCGATCAAAATAACAGGATGAAAAACTTTGTAGTTAATCGAAAATCCACTTCTCCAATAGATAAAGGACCACCTTCAAACGTATCCATGGGGGGAAATGCCAAGCACTCGAGAGAAACAGAAAGACTTCATGGTGCAATATTATAAAAACCAATTCCTTTATTAGGTACTCATTGCACTTACTCAAGAGGTGTCCCAGCCGACACCAGCATCAACAGCATAACAGCAATCACATGAACGAGCCTGGCTACTCAGCACATGCGCAGTAGCTGGCAGCCAAAAACGTAATGACGTCACATCAATCAAGCTCCGCCCTACGCGTTTCGTCATCGACGTCCTCACGCACAGCGGATAGATGTGAGACGTCTCAACCTCCTTAAATATTCACTCACAGGAAATGAACAGCTGACATCAATGGGGAATCAAGCAAAGCAAGCCGCCCCACAGATGACAGGAGTCCACAAAGGATATACAATGTATCCAATATATTTGCCATCACAAGCAAAAAAACTTTAAAACAAGAGAACAAAAATAAAATAAAAAGAAATTTAAATAAAACACTAATGATAAATAAATTAAATAAATAAACAAATATTAAATAAATGTATTTATTTATTTATTTAATTTATTTATCATTAGTGTTTTATTTAAATTTCTTTTTATTTTATTTTTGTTCTCTTGTTTTAAAGTTTTTTTGCTTGTGATGGCAAATATATTGGATACATTGTATATCCTTTGTGGACTCCTGTCATCTGTGGGGCGGCTTGCTTTGCTTGATTCCCCATTGATGTCAGCTGTTCGTTTCCTGTGAGTGAATATTTAAGGAGGTTGAGACGTCTCACATCTATCCGCTCCGTGAGGACGTCGATGACGAAACGCGTAGGGCGGAGCTTGATTGATGTGATGTCATTACGTTTTTGGCTGCCAGCTACTGCGCATGTGCTGAGTAGCCAGGCTCGTTTATGTGATTGCTGTTATGCTGTTGATGCTGGTGTCGGCTGGGACACCTCTTGAGTAAGTGCAATGAGTACCTAATAAAGGAATTGGTTTTTATAATATTGCACCATGAAGTCTTTCTGTTTCTCTCGAGTGCTTGGCATTTCCCCCCATGGATACGTTTGAAGGTGGTCCTTTATCTATTGGAGAAGTGGATTTTCGATTAACTACAAAGTTTTTCATCCTGTTATTTCGATCGATGATCGGTGTGTTGCAGAGTTTCTGTTTCTGAAGATATATTTATGGATGATCTGCCATTATATTATCAAGGTTTTTTGGTGAAATTTTTCATATTTAGACACTTTTTTTGCACAAAAGTTTTTTGCACTTAAAAGTTTTTTTATATATATATATTTTTTTTTTTTTTTTTTTTGTGGTATTGGCATATATATATTTTTTTTCTGGACTTATGATTTGATGATTTCAATATTATTTAAAGCCTAAATAAAATTAATAACCAAATGTTAACACATTGCAGCTTACCAGTCCTTAAATGCAGTTGTAACATTAAGGCTAAAAACCTTTTTCTCAAGTATGCAGTGTCCTTGTCACTTTATATGAGCTCCCCTGGAAGCATAAAATAATGTTATCTTAATTGTGTAAACTACTAGTCCTATTAGTACACCAGTTCATTGGATTCAGGTGTTCCAATCACCTCCATGGCCACAGGTGTATAAAATCAAGCACCTAGGCATGCAGACTGCTTCTACAAACATTTGTGAAAGAATGGGTGACTGTCAGGAATTCAGTGCATTCAAGTGTGGTACCGTGATAGGTTGCAAACTGTGCAATAAGTCCATCCGTGACATTTCCTTGCTACTAAATATTCCAAGGTCAACTGTTAGTGGTACTATAACAAAGTGGAAGCAACTGGGAACAACAGCAACTCAACCAGAAAGTGGTAGGCCATGTAAAATGACAGAGCGGGGTCAGTGCATGTTGAAGCGCAAAGTGTGAAGAAGTCACCAACTGTCTGCAGAGTCAATAGCTAAAGGCCTCCAAACTTCATGTCACCTTCAGATTAGCACAACAACATTGTGTACAGAGCTTCATGGAATGGGTTTCCATAGCCGATCAGCTGCATCCAAGCCTTACATCACCAAGCACAATGCAAAGCGTCGGATGCAGTGGTGTAAAGCATGCCACTACTGGACTCTAGAGCAGTGGAGACGTGTTCTCTGGAGCGATGAATCACACTTCTCTGCTAGCAATCTGATGGACATATCTGGGTTTGGCAGTTGCCAGGAGAACATTACTTGCCTGACTGCTTTGTGTCAAGTGTAAATATTTGGTGGAGGAGGGATTATGGTGTTGGGTTGTTTTTCAGGGGTTGGGTTTGGCCTCTTAGTTCCAGTGAAGGGAACTCTTAAGGTGTTAGCGTACCAAGACATTTTGAACATTTTCATGCTCCCAACTTTGTGAGAACAGTTTGGGGATGGCCCCTTCCTGTTCCAACATGACTGTGCACCAGAGCACAAAGCAAGGTCCGTAAAGACATAGATGAGCGAGTTTGGGGTAGAGGAAATTGACTGCCTGCACAGAGTCCTGACCTCAACCCGATAGAACACTGAGCCAGGAATTCTCATCCGACATCAGTGCCTGATCTCACAGAAAAATGTCAAATATTCCCATTGACACACTCCTAAACCTTGTGGACAGCCTTCCCAGCAGAGGTGAAGCTGTTATAGCTACAAACGTTGATCCAACTCAGTATTGAACCCTACGGATGAAGACTGGGATAAAGTTCATATGTGTGTAAAGGCAGGCTTCCCAATACTTTTGGCAATATAGTGTATATACACTCACTAGCCACTTTATTAGGTACACCTTTCTAGTATCGGGTATTCATCAGAGATTTTGGTCCATATTGACATGAGTTACTGTTGCCTTTCTCTCATCTCGAACCAGTCTGCCCATTCTTCTCTGACTTCAACGAGGCATTTTTGTGCCCACAACTGCCACTCACTGGATATTTTCTCTTTTTTTGGGACCATTCTCTGTAAAACCTAGAGATGGTTGAGTGAGAAAATCCCAACAGATCAGCAGTTTTTGAGATACTCAGACCAGCCCTTCTGGTGCCAACAACCATGTCATGTTTAAAGTCACTTAAATCCCCTTTCTTCCCCATTCTGATGTTCGATTTTAACTTCAGCAAGTCTTCTTCACCACGTCTCGATGCCTAAAAGCATTGAGTTGCTGCCATGTGATTGGCTGATTAGCAATTTGTGTTACCAAGCAATTGAACAGGTGTACCTAATAAAGTGGTGAGTGTATGTATTATATATATATATGTATATGAAAATACTTTCAAGAAATGCCTTTTTTGAATCATTAATTATGATTACTAGTCTTGTCACCTTATAAGTAATTTATGAGTATTTTCTTTCTTTGTATTAATAGAGAAATTGGTATTTATATACAGTATGTACTGTGGAAAGAAGCACTTAGTTTTATTTTTAACAATAATACAGAGAACCAGTCTGTGCTAATAGTTTCTTTTAATAATAATAAGTTTCCACCTAAATGGCAAGACCCATATTCCACACCTATAGTTTCAAGTTCACAAAAAGTGTTAAAAAGTGCACAAAATGTACAGTTCTCACATTATCTTCTCCTTTGGTGAATTTTAATGACCATTCTGTAACTCTGAACGAAGACAAATTATCATATAAATTAAAAAAAGAAATGAACAATTAAAATGTTTAATTTTCATTTTTCAACCTGGTGTATTTGCATAGAATTATATATTGTTAGGATATTTAAATGGGGACCACTTCTGAAACAACTGGTGGTCTTAGAACACTTTTTTCTGTTTTCTTTTAATTATGTATTCTCTATTATAATGTATGGGTAAAATAAAATATTGAAATTATGTATAAACCCAAAATGTAAATATTGTTTTACATAAAATGGAGACTTGAACTATTTGAGAAATATGTCTGTATTATGTTTTCCTACCTGTAATCAGAGATAGCTGGCCTTAAAGTGAATCTATGCTTTGTCCATGCAGAGCAATGCAACAGGTTCCCTTTAATATAGACCACCATAGATACAATTTTTTTCTTTTCTTCCTTTTACTCCCTTGCCTTTAACCTGCCTAGAGAAAATCCCCATGTAGGCTTCGAGTAGCTATAGTTGTGTCTTGCATAAGGCTATGGATGGATTTGCTCAGTGCTGTCACACCGAGTGATTCAAATAACCCTCCATACTCAGGAGTACCAGGTACCAGGGGCGGACTGACCATTTAGAAACTCGGGCACTGCCCGAGGGTCCGGGGTCAGTAGGGGGCCCCATGAGATGCCCCTGGTACCTTTTTCATAGGCTTTTTTGAGTTTGGGCAAGGACACAGGGGCCCCATGATCCCCTATTGCCCGGGGGCCCCATGAGTTGTCAGTCCGCCCCTGCCAGGTACTAATGCTGATGTTAAATGGAGTGGAAGAGGAGCAATGGAAAGGTGAGTATAATCCGGGGTGTGAGGATTAAAATAAACCTCTCAAAGTCTTTATAGCAGAGAGTGTAGTCAGTTGCAAGGGGCAAAATTAAATGCAATAGGATAATTTACTAAAGGCAATTACACTGTGCACTTTGCAGTCGCAGTTGCCCTCATTTTCCCCAGTGCTTGGTGAAGGTGGTGAAGCTCCACTTTGTAAAGAATACCAATCAGGTACAAGAAAAATTAAAAAAGAAAACAGTATTTTTGCTAAGCTTTACCATATTCTCTAAACTCTGGGGAAAATGAGTGCAACTGCACTTGCAAAGTGCATTGTCTATTTTTATTTAGTAATTCAGCCACAGTGACTCAAAAATGTTTCCTGTTTTGATGGAAGAGAACACAGATTAGAAAAAATATTAGTAATTAAATTTTGCTTAGTGCAGTTAACTAACAAGACATCATGCAAATTTAGAAATAAACCTCCCTACTAACAGAAGTTCAGTTCTAATCAACTAACAAACCAGATTTACAACAAAACTTATATAATTTAAAAGACTCTTGAAGAACTGTTGGTAAATAGAATGGTAAAAGATATAATTTATCACATACGTAACAGATCGTGAAAACACAGTTAAGGTATAACCTGTTTGTAATGTTAATACTTTCTTCCAAAGACTGGGCCTGATTTACTAAAGGATATATTCTTGTTTATTTGCAATCGCGCTTGGGTAAGGACTTCCCCTTTGAGCTCTTTCCTTTTATGCCCATCTTGTCTTAGTCCATACTTGAGTTTTTGCTTGTTCCATTTGAATTTTCTTCTTTGAGTATTACTATAACATGTGTTGATGAATAGACATTATCTCTAGGTAACTTGACTTTTCTTTCTTTGTGACATGAATCTTACTGTAATTAGTAATACGCAATAAACAGTGAATAGATTAAGAAAAGTTATTGTCATAGCACTGAAGTTGTAAAAAGCCTCCACATGGAGGTTTGATGAGCTGTCAAGCTGCTGTCTCCTTACCACACAAATACATTTTAAATAGTGAAAAAAGCTGCCTGTGCTAACACAGCAAAATGGATGTTAAACTAAATTTTTGAGTTTCTAAAAGACTTTTCTAACTTTTTTTGTATATCACAGTTGAACAGGTCCTCAATAATATTGCAAGGCATGTGTCAACTATACAGTGTATAAGTGGAACATATTATTTTTTTTATATCCATATTTCTGCATAGACATATTCATTTACATCTCGATGTTTTAGGTGATTGTGCCTGTGGTGCACTGGACAAAGATCTGTTTTGATGTTGTTTGCCATACAAAAACACTATTATATAAATAAATTAATTATATTACAGAACTCAATGGTAACACATATAAAACACCCTAAAAACAAGCAAAGTGCACACAATACTTTGCACCTGAAGCATGCTGCTGAGAATGGGGCTTAAAGTGGTTCTAAGGGCAAACTTTTTTTAGCTAATGCATTCTGTGCATTAAGGTAAAATACAACCTGCATGCAGTTCCCTCCGCAGCTCCCCCCCCCCCCACTTGTATTTACCTGAGCATGATCTCAATCCAGCAATGTGCATGGTAGCAGCAACTCTCTCCCGTCTCATTGGCTCAGAGACAGCAGTGGGAGCCATTGCATTCTGCTGCTGTTAATCAGAACCAGTGAGGAGGGAGTGAGGGGCAGGGCCGAGTTGTGCTCTGTGTGTCAATGGACACACAGAGCAGGATTCAGGAGTGAGCAGGCAGGCATGAGTTCCCCCTTAGCAAGGGGGAGTTTTACTTATACAGCAGGTAAGTATAACATGTTTGTTATTTTAATTTAAAAAAAAATGAGCATTTACAATCACTTTAAAGCTTATTTGCACCAGGCAAACAAATGTGAATATGATTAACAGAGGTTTTTCACTGTGCAAACTGATCATCCCGCAAAGCATTATATATATATATATATATATATATATATATATATATATATATATATCTGAAGGGTGAGATTACTCACGGTTAAGGCAAGATTGCCTCTGTACAAAATAGCCTCTTATGCCTCAGTGCAGCAAGCATTTTTAAAACATTTTTTAGAACAGGATAATGGGAAGGTAAACTGCAGGTAGCTACTATGCAGTAAATATACTGTATATGTGTGGTTACTATTGCTCTTGGCATCTCTAGGTAGTCATGCTGTACAGTATAATCATCATCACTAAAATATCTGTAAAGTTACTAATGGCATTAATATACTGTAATGCTATATTTTAGGTTGAGCCTCATGGACAGCCTTTTCTTCCTGCCATGTTTTCAAACTTTGCATTGGCAAGGTGACAGTCTCTTTAAACCCTCTAGTATCTAAAAAAATATTAGTTTTGGATGGTCCGATGCTTTAAAATCAAGAAATTAGTTACTAGTAAAAATTAAATTAGTTACCAGTAAAAATTAAATTAGTTACTAGTAAATAGTCATTTAACAAACCTTCCTGATACCTGGTATCACAGGGATATCACTGTGGAATGTCTGAGACTTATTCATCACATGCAAGGAAAACTTGGTGTAGCTTCTTGACCACGTAGAAGGAATTACTTATAGTACCTATATTTTAAAGGTTGGATCCAAGCAAAGCAGTTATTCACCAAGGTCTGGGCATCGCTGCTGTCCCTGAACACATATATAGAACTCTGGCCTTGACAGTGTGGGTGGTAAAGCATAACTGTGAAGCATGCACTATTATATTTCACCCAAACTGGACATTTGTAAAGGTCTACTTGTTGTCAATTTAAAACCGAAAACAGTTTTTAGCAGTAAAATGAAAAGCAACTGGATCTACAATTGTAATATAAAATCTTTCTAATATTCTTGATTGAATTTAAATAGGTGTCTTTTTATTTATTGGATTATCTGGCATAGCAGAGCAGCAGTGTCCCAGAATATAATGAAACAACGACAGCATATGCAATCTGTGTGATATAAAAATAACAAAGCTGGTCCAGCGTTTATCTGTTATTACAATTTTCTGGCTCTTTTTAATGCATACAGTTGAATTTATGGATATACATTTTTTTTATAAAATTAGTTTGGGGTTGCTGAACATGTTATTAGCTGTCAGAGGTTTTTCAATACAAAGAAGTCTGATTGCCATCTTTGAAATGGATGTCTAAATCTAGAAGTAAAATATATTTTGAATAACGCCACAGGAAAAAAAAAAAGAAAAATTAGTAGAACAGACATAATTGTGCTAATTTCCCTTAAAATAGATTTGGTAACAAAATAAGCAAAAATAAACCTCCAGTTTATTTTTAAGACCTGTGATCCCCCTGCTACATTATACATTAAACAGGAACTTTTATTTTCAACTATAACTGGTCAGTATTCCAAGTTACACAAGCTGGGTGAACTATACTAAGCACAATTTGCAAACAAAAACTGACCAAATAACAGAACCCAAAGTGAACATAAAAAAGGATTTGTCTGGAGTTGTGCTTTAAAAGCTTTGACTATGTTTAGTGTTTTCAACTGGTGTTATTTTCCAAACAATATTCAGTATTGCCATTAGACTCTTTCTTTGCCTTGATCCTTGGTATTCTAGTGAATACTCTGTTATTTAGTTACTTAAGTCAAAAAAGTGCTTTTGTTTTAAAAAAGATGTTTCTGATGTGTATTTTTTAATAACTGATGAAAAGTGTAATACTTGCCATATAAATGTGATTTTGATATACACTGCATTGCATATATTTGACTATATTATTTAGCTTAGTAAAGATTAGGAATAGCTCTATAAGGGAATACCAGGACTCTCGACATACCGCTGTATTTCTAAAGGCATTTTGTTTTAAATTTTGGATAGAGAAAAGAAATGTGAAAACCCCAGTCATGGTTTTAATCTGTTTCCCTGCTAGGGAGAATTACCATCTCTTATTTGTCCTGGTGACCAATGTCAGTTGGCAGGAAACAACAGGAAATACAACATATCTGGCTGTCACAGCAATAAGAATAATGTAGAAATCTTCAAGGATTTTAGGTTTTCCTTACTATAAAATTAAAAAAACCTTAGCCATTAGGCATACTTTATTTATCACTAGGTTTCTACATTCAATTAAACTTAGGCTGGCCATACATTATACAATTTTCTTAAGAATTTTTCTTTAGATTTACCAAAAGCCATATAATATGGCATCAAATCTAATCAACACTTTCAATTGTATCCAATTAGGCAGGACCCCTCTATTGCATAGTTAAAGGTAAATCTAAAAGAAATTGGGCAGAAAATGGACAGAAAACTGTAAGAACATTGTATAGTGTATGGCCAGCCATAGCTAGAGACTTCTGACTTTATCCCTCTACAGTTGCAAGAAAAAGTATGTGAACCCTTGGGATTACGTGGAGTTTTGCATGAATTGGGCATAAAAATGTGCTCTGAACGTCATCTAAGTCACAACAATAGAAGAACACAGTCTGCTGAACATAATACTACACAAACATTAGATGTTGCCATGGTTTAATTGCACATAACATGTAAACATTCACAGTGCAGGGAGGAAAAAAGTATGTGAACTTTGGACTTAATAACTGGTTCACCCTCCTTTGGCAACAATAACCTCAACCAAACGTTTCCTGTAGTTGCAGATCAGACCTGCACAACGATCTGGAGTCAGTTTGGACCACTCCTCTTCACAAAACTGTTTGAGTGTAGCAATATTCTTGGGATGTCTGGTTTGAATCGCTCTCTTAAGGTCATGCCACAGCATTTCAATCAGGTTGAGGTCAGGACTCTGACTGGGCCACTCCAGAAGGCGTATTCTGTGCTGTTGCAGCCATTGTTTTGTTGAATTACTTGTATGCTTTGGGTCATTGTCCTGTTGCATCACCCATCCTCTGCGGAGCTTCAGTTGGCGGACAGATGGTCGTACATTTTCCTGCAAAATGTCTTGCTAAACTCTGGAATTCATTTCCCATCAATGACAACAATCCGTCCAGGCCCTGAGGCAGCAAAGCAGC